TGCCACTCCGCACACACACACACACAAACAAATGCATGTCCACGTTTCCACGTTGCGAGCCGTTTTTGTCTGTCCTTGCTGGCATAAACCACATCGTCCGCACGTCGAGGCAGCCCTCCGGGAAGACTCTCTTCACGATCCTCCCAAGTTGCGGGTCGTTTCCGCAGCTGAAAAATAGGCGACAAGGGCTGTGTCGGGCCAGCTTTCAGGAGGATTCTGGCAGGGTTCTGGGGGCTGTTGGGGATCCCTCAAGGGCCTATTGAGTTGGTAACCAAGACTTTTGGCATCTGCGAATCCTAGATACCATAGGGACTCGTCCTCCAGCACGCCTGTGGGAGGGTACCTGGAAGATCAGTTTCCTCAAGGGACCTGCCACGTGCCATGACCTGCAACGTGCCATGGCAACGTGGGAGGGAGGGTACCCCTTTTTGTGGTTTTAAAGTGAAGCCAAAAGAGAAACCGAAGCCATTTGGGGCTCGCAAATGGAGAACAACACACCCATCTATCTGGGTTTGTGGACACCTGAATTGCGATTTTCCTTCTGGCTCCACGTGAAAAAACAACCCCCCCAAAAAAAGGAACCCCAGTGGTTTTTATAGACTGAACCCAAGGCGAACCCATGCCAACAACGCAAGAGATGGTTTTGCGTTGCTTTCCCCGCAACAGAACACAGCTTCAGAAAACTGCCAGCAGGCGTTGATCTGAATACAATCGAACATTGCATGCCAGCCCTAGCCAGTCAGCTGTGTTCAATAGTCCTGGTACAAGCATTTCCTTGGAATACATTTGTCACCATGTGCGGCTTGAACTGCGAGAGCCGAGCAACCTGGGCCCAGTCTATCTGGAGGGAACGCACCGAACAAAGCAGCAGTTCATGGACGGCGGGCAAAGAACACCTAGATTGGCTGAAGGTTCCTTGAATCGGGGATTCGAAATCTCAGATGGAAACTTGGCAAAGCACAGCAGAAGAGTTGGACTCCAAGTTTCTTGGGTCTCAAATTCTCAAACAAAAATGTCATGCCATTCCTTCCAGCCCGTCCTTTTCTCGTTGTACTTGCCACAGTTCAAGTCGCTCCGGGTCTCCTGTCACTCGCTTCAAGAGATCACGCCAAGGTGTAACTAGTCACAAAGCGCCCATGGTTTTCAGGCCCTACTCCAGTAGGCCTTCTTAGTCGCTATTGTCCATTATGGGATTGCGGGAGCCCGATTTGGGAGGCAGGACAAGCCTTGAACAAAACAAAACGCAAATCAAACAAACAAAAAAGCATTGTTCATTCCCAACGGGATATAGGCAATTTGGATTGTCTCCTGGGTGCCGAAAATTCAAGGATCTTTCCATGTCCATATTGCCGTGTTTGCATACCTGGGCGTGGCGAAAACCATGTCCTTGGTGAAGTACTTGTTTGAGATGTGGAGAGCTCTCTCCGCATATTTGCACACCTGGCACAGTCCGCGGAGAGTCTGCTCGAGCATAGTGTGCATTGTACTTTCGGGCGCTTTGGTGGACATCGTTCGAGGTGAGGATTCATGTCCAACCATTTTTGAGGTGGTTCCAACTTCTGAAAATGAAATCGCGTAGCAGTTACCCAGGAAAGCCTTGTTAGGTGCTTCGGATTTGTGGTTTGGGGATTTGAACCCCTGGTTCTACTAGAGACTTTGCATGGGGGCTTCCCCTCCACTTCTCACCACCAATCACCGATTTCCTTCGGGTCGGCAACCCAAACCACTGATTCCTTTCGAGGGAAGCAGCGTTTCGCACATGCACGCAAAGAAAAGAGAGCGAGAGGCTGCCATCATAGGTGTCCTTTTGGTAAAATAGATGGGTTTCCCTGGATGAAATAAAACCGAGAACCAGTGGAACCCATCGATTTCTATCGCCTAAGGACTCCCAAGGCCATGAGTCCGTCCGAAGGCCCGTGGCCGGAATGGCTGCCTCCAGCTGGCAGTTCTTGGATGATGCCACCACGTTGTGGAACTCTTGGGCATCCACCAGCAGGATCTTACCTTCAAACCGGCGCGGCTGTCATTGAACCAGCCTTTGGAGTCTGTCAAGCGGAAACCAGCAAAAAACACACAAACAAACATATTTATTGAGCCCCCAATCTAAAGAGAACGCATTTGGGAAGCTGTGCACCGGCAAAGCATGCGTCCATAATTGCGCTTAAGACTTCGAAGGAGAAGCCTTGGACGCAAATGTTTAAGGCATCGAATTGGTTGATTCAGTTCCGTACGGGGAGCGAGCCATTGCAGTCTAAAAAGGACCAGTCAACCAATGAGCATTTAGCACCATTGGTAACTAGCAGGAGTCATTAACAACCGTAAAACCAGCAAAGGCCATGACCTTCCCGTAGCAGGGAATCAGCATTGGAACACAGGTCCCACGCCTGCCAGAATATTGGCAAACAAAACATGTTGTGCGCCAGAACACACATGCGGAAACAGCTGCGGAAGTGCCACATCAGCAACTGTGACATGTAACTGCTTCTTGTTCCATGTGTTTCATCCACGAAAAACAAAAATCAGTGTATATATATATATATATGTATAAACGGCGGCATCATATCCTCTAATCTATACGCTGATGGATTCCGAATATCAATGTGTGGTGAGGCAATTAAGTGTACAAGAGCTGAGGGATTCTGGCTGTGGTGACCGCTGCTCAGCTGGTAATTTTATTATACTTCAACAATCTAACTCAGCGAATCAAAGAGGAAACAAACACTATCTCTGTCTGATGCCTTCCACCTCGGCCCGCCCTGCACATTCATCTGAAAGTACAGTACACCTAGCCCAGGTCATGTTGGCTGTGCTGCTGAGTCTTGGTGCCCTTTCAGTTTGGGCTGTCAAACGGCCCAAAAAGAGCTGCTACCGAAGACAAACCATTTGAAAAGCGTTGGGGAGAGGGCTGTTTGTCCAAATCCATTGTTTGACACATGTGTGTGTATGCGCCTTAGAGTGGGGCATCACCAAATAAATGGCAAGGGTGTCCCTTTGGCTTTCCCCTGTAAAACCACTGCAAAAGGTCCATCCTCAAAAACAAAGCCCCCATCCTCCCCATGTCTGGGCTGTGCGGCAGTCGGAGCGTGCCCGCATCGTGCCACAGTGACTCCAGGGCGCCCATAAGACCTGAGAGCCGAGGGATTTGAAGAACTTCGCCTACAATTTCCACATGAAGGTGTCTGTTTTTGAGGGACCCCCCCAAAAAAAAAACATGGCGCAAGGGTTTTCCTTTTGGACTCCCTTCAAACCCACCCAGCAAAAACTGGTTCCCTCCAAACAGAGACACGTCCAGGCATGGGTTCTTTGGCCCAAAGAGGTCAAGGAAATGGGTGGTTGGAATCCACGAGCGTGGGTTCCATGTGCTGTGTTCCGCAAGCTCTTGGGGGATCTGAGGGCAAATCAGGGCACCAAATCCCGCGGTACCTCACTGCCAGGCGTGCATCGAGCTTGATCTTGACTTCTGTTTTGGGCCCGGTCTGTCTTTGCTGGACTGCCAAGCGTTCCAGTGATCGCAACTAGGTCTTCCAGTAGAGAGGTTCGAACAAGGTTACCCGATGTTTTGTCTGTAATCTATTTTAGCAGGGGAGCCCTCGCAACCAAAAAAGAAACGGTAAAAGGGCACTGCTGGGGGACCTAGGCAAATCTGCAATTGCTGAATCCCACAAACTGGTGCAAACCACCTCACTTGTCTAGATCCACAGCAGCTAGTGGCTTGGGCAACGCTACATATTTCTCTGAACCCAGCTTGAACAACTGGAACATTCGGCAAAAATACATGCATTCCATTGGTTTTGTAGGTCCAATAATAGAAGATCAGCCTTTGGGTTGGGGGCGGTTCCCTTAAAATAGTTGGTTGCCTTTTGGTTTCCCTTTGGCTAACCAAAAGGGCGTCCGCCAAACGGTTGTGTCTTAAAGTAGGGGAGCCCCCAAAATGGCCAGGGTTTTCTGTTGGTTTTCCTTTAGAATCTTCCGAGTGCGCCGCCATCTCTGAGAAGTGGGCTGGAGCCTGGCGACACACCGATGGGTCATGACCCATGGGGAGGGTCCCCCAGGCGTCTTATGCGTGTCTTTGTTGGAGGAACCACCCCTTTCTTTGCTAAGGGAAAACCGAGTCTTCTAGCAGCCACATCATCTCAAACGACTGCACCCGACGGCGAACGACTAGAGCAGAACCGCGATTTGAGACCATTGCCAAACCGAATGGAAAAGGGTACACTCTCTCGCATGGAACTCAGGTCGCCCTACCTAAGCCACCGCCAAAACCCCTGGCTGCCAAACTGGAATACATAAGAAGCGTCATGCAAAATGCTATACTTCAGCATGGAATGCAACACGCAGAAATGAAGCTTGTAGCACTTGACAATGGAGAGGGCGTCCAAACAATGTCCGCAACAACACAAAAACGACGCCTGAACAACCTTCAACACATCCTGGAGCCAGCTCTTGCTCACTTGCAGCCCATTCTGACTCAACAGCCACCTTTCTTTCCTCCTCCTCCTCATCATCATTCCAGGCTGCATACAATGCAATATGCACAAACACTTTTCTAAGAAGACGGTGATGCTATAACTACCTCTGATTGGCGGACCCCTTCCAACAAATCAGGCCCATTGGCAGTCTGGTACGCCCACGCCTTGCGCCGTGTGTGAATTCTCGGACAGCAATACCCCGTGAGCGCAAGCCCCGGGGAGGGAAGTTGGGAGAAGGTGATCAAGGCAGGCGTGCGGGAGCAGCCCACCATCCTCACTTCAAGTCCAAACATTTTGTTTACCACTAGCATGGTCCAGCCCAAAAAAGTGACTAGAGTCCAGGAACTCATCAAGTGAGTATCCCTTCCACGTATCCCTAGTTGGTTCTGACTCGCCAAAAGCAGGTCCGGTCCAGTGCGAGCGCACCCCCCCGAAACGGCCGCTGTGAGCCGAGTCCTGCCACGCCCTTGCTTTCGGGGAGCTGAGGTGGCGGTTGCAAAACATCTTATGCTTCCTCAATCTCGACGGATGCCCCCTTAAGGGCGAGGGGGTGAGGGTCCCCAATTCCATTTTCAGGAGAGTGGGGGATCTTAATCGGATTTGCCCAACGAATCTTGTCTGTCTTCTTTGTTTTTTGTCCAAGGAATCTTGACATTGTTTCTGTTTCGGAGTTCGCGAGATCCCTTTCATTTTGTTGTCTAGGTCCTCCAGTAGAGAGGTTAGAATAAGGGTACCAACTTTTTCCGTAGTCTATTTTAGTAGGGCGACCCTCACAAGCAAAAAAGGGGTGAGAAAGGGCACCTAGCTGGGGAACCTAGTTGTTTGTGTTCGCGCCTGCAATGGAATCGGTTCGGCATTCTCCAGGGTGTAGGTCAGCGTGCCAGACATCGCCTCAACTCTGAGGGCAGAGAAGGGAACTGAACCGCACCCCAGGGTTGTTAATCGTAAATTCTAACAAGAAATGAGGTACCACAAGGCTTCTCTGACCCTGATTCTACCTAAGTAGCTACACTGGCATCCAGTACAGCGAGCTCACCTCCAACCCTTTCCTGATAACGGACTCCACCTTGGAGTTCACTGGGCATGCAGGGGCTATGGGAGTTGATCATTTTTCCGTTCGGCCCCCAAATGACCATGGGTCACTTTTCCTGTGGAGATATCATCCTTGTGTGGCTTCCCCCCATGGCCATCCCTAAGGGACCTCTTGATCAGCACCCATATACCCTTTATATAGTATATAGCGCATGTATACCTCATGTTTCCCTTAGTGGGTTTGGGGGTACTGGAAACCCTGATAGAACTTCCGAAGAGCGTTAAGCAGTTGGTGGGCCTCAGGTTCTGCCGAGTCTTGGGCGGTCGTGAGACATCCAGTGCATCCAGGCGTTTCGGCACTATAGTAGGATGTAGTAGGCTTGCCCAGGGTAATCCATCAGAAGTAACACCTGGAGGCAAGGATACCGCAAGATTACCTACTATAGTGACGCACTGGGACAAATGAGTTGTACCCTGATAGCATCGATCCTGCTAGACTACGTCAGTACAACAGAAACGCTTTCAGATGCCTTTAGACTTGAGAGGAGCATCTTTGAATTGGGTGGCACATTCTGGTGTTCATTGCGCAGCTTGGCATTCTGGGGCAGAAGGCCAGGATGAGGTTGGGGGGTGGGGTCGGGTGGGGTTCCCCCACTTCCACTTGTCTAGTATTCCCCGTACTATGGAAACTGAAACCATAAATGCCGGTGGGGATTCGCACAGGCATGGACGCAATTTCCCCTACACCTTCAGCCTCTGGAACCCTTCGAAACCTTCCGCCTTGGCCCCTTCAGCTTTACCCCCAAAAAGCCCAAGCGCCTCCAGATCCCTAAACATGACGACAGACACCACAGGTTCGCCTTACACCTTGTGTTCACTGTGAAAGGCAAACAACGCCTACCTCGCGTTGCCCTGCGTCGCCAATCAGCCACTCTGCTGCCTCTCAGTATCATTTGGTTGCTTTCTACTTCCCTGCTAACAGTTTAACTTTTGGTGGTTTAATTCGGAAAACCCGTGAGTGGGCAAAAAGTTCAAGTCCTAACATCGAAGCAAAATGACTCCCACCCAAGGCCTCCAAAGTTCACGCTGCTTCTCCCAGATATTTTTTCCCCCAAACCCGTCCTTTTGAACGGAACATACATAGGTGGCCTTTTGGAAACATAGATGGGTTGCCCTGGTAAATGGAATAACACCAGTGCCATATATATATATATACATATAGATATATATATATATATATATATATATTTATGTCTATCTAACCAAACTAACCTGAAAATGCCACCTATGGTAACACATCTTGCGTCTAATTATGGTTTCGGGGGAACCAATAAACGATCGGTTGCGGCTGAAAACAGAATAACACGTGCATGCACCCAAAACCAAGCCCAAACCCAGCTTGAACCACCATATCCAGCCAGGATTTATGCTTCCTGCAATCAAAGCTGAGGCGCGAAAAACATCGATTTGCAAGATTCGCCCTTGGTGAACAAGTAGTCATCTCCGGAGAGCTGCCTCAGAGCTCAACTGAGATGAGATTGCAATCCCATCTGAGTTTGACATGGCGGCAAGCCTTACAGGAGCCCACAATTTGATTGTTGCCCACTACTGGACTATTGTCAAAGCCACCACCTAGCTGGTAGGTTAATCGCCGTGACGCTGAGCTGGCGTTTGACGCAGTTTAAATGACAGGTAGAAAACCGAATGAGCGGCGAACAAAACCCATTTAGTCTTAAAACCGCAAAACTATGCACAGTAGTACTCAAATACCGGCTAGTGGTTGCTCGTGACACCGTATGCACACGCGCACATCTGAATTCCATTGAACAGAAGAACCACCCTTGATCATCGATTGATGAGCATAAGGCCGTGTCTCAGCTAGCACTGGCTATACCATGGGCTCACAGCCGCAGTTTGCGAAGGTGTCAGCGCTCGCGTGAACTTACTTACCCGCATGTCAAGGTATATATAAGAAGGGCATCACACACACACACACACACACACCTGTTGCACCATGTGATTGTGGTTTGATGGCGCGTGCGTGCATATTCGCATGTTAGCTGGTCGTTCTGCCTCAATCCTAGCTGTTTCAGTGCATTGGCCGAGACGCAGGTGTCGAACACAACTGTCTCTGGAGTGACACACAAACACAAACTCATAATTTACTTTGCTGAAGTATGGATTAAGGACTGATCTAAGCAACCTGGACAAGCCCAATGAAAGCATGTGTCATACGAGGGTGTGTACGGTTTTTGAGGCTATGAGGCTACCCGGTTTAAAGGGATTCCAAAAGGGCAATAATCAATTTGGCTGTCCACCAACTCTGACGCATGCCCATGAATCGTGAACGTCAACACCTTTTGCAATGCGCTATTTCGAGGTTACTTCTGATTGGCTAACTCCCTGTCTTGACCGAGTGAATCAAGCGTTGGCACAGTCTCCTTGGGTCTGTCTTCTTTTCATGCTACTCATGCTACTCTTTTGAGGTGGCTTTTTTTCGGGGGAGCAAAAGAAAAACCACCAATCTCGGTCCTAGGACCCCGGGCCCTCCGAAAAAAACCCAGCACGATGTCCCTCAAAATTTGGCAAGGGTTTCCTTCTGGTTTCCCTTTCAGGGCGAAAAGGGGACCCTCAAAAACGCACAGACGCACACAGAGACTGAGACACACCCAAAGGAACCCCAAGGAACCTCCGCGACCGAAGCAGCGCTCGTGGTTCGTGAGCTGGGTGTGGGGTTAAAAAGATCCCAAAATGGAACCTTGGTAAAGGGAACCGTGGACTAAAACCTGCGGTCCGGTTTGTTGGTGGTTTAATTTTGACCCATACCCAAATGTCTCCGTGATTTCGGTGACCCCCGTGTGGACCGGTGTTTAATTTTGAATGGTTTCGCTCAAGTATGCGAGCTGCATGGTCCTGACCCCCGTGTGGCAGAGCTTCATCACGGCCGGCTCGTTCAGTTGGGAGTAAGCGAAGAAGAGCGAGTGCTTGTTGAGTACAGGGCCTCAGAGCTAGGATCAGACTCGCGAACTCACCGAACCAGATATGTGCCATAGTCAAAACTTGTCATACCTGCGGTCATGGCTCCCTCAATGGGAATCACATGGAATCACTTAATGGTTCTTAAGGATTCTTACTACCAGGTGGATGACCATTCCTGTTAACCCCAAGTAAAGGGCTCTGTTGACCGCACATATGAAATGACCAAGGAAGCGATGGCAATGTTGCTCGAACCCAGAGGCCCAACGTGCACAAACTGAGCTGCGCCGGCAAAGAATCCAACATGTTCTCAGGCTGTTGTGATGGATCCTCAACGCCTGGCAGGATGGAAGCTATTCTCATCTGAGTCATAATCAAAACCCGGAATTAAAATGGTTGACCCAGAACCATGTAAGGAAATACAAAGGCGGCCGCAACTGTTTCTGGCTGGGACTGTCCCTTACTAACCTTCATTTACCCGAGTTTTGATTGTGGCTCATCTGGCAGTCACAAACAACATGTCCAAGACAAGCAATGCTGCCTGCTCTGCATGGAAGCAGCATGAAAAGCATGGCTACAATAACATGTAGGCACAAATCCAGCCTCCCCTTGCGAACAATAGCATGGGAATTATACGTTTCAAGTTTCATTGCAAGGCCTGGCCACTAATCCCAAAACGTGGTCTACCCCAAATAGCACGTCTACAATAACCTCCAGCCTCCACAAATGCATATCTTTGGCTAGTTGGAGTGGTGGACAGGAAGCCCCGCAAACAGAGTAGGACATCTGCCAAGAGTATCAGGCTGCTTACAAGTGAAGATCATCTGCACTCGACAGAGAGCAGCAAGGTGTATGCAGAAACAAACCCAATCACCTACGCTGCGACAGCATGCGGCTTGCCGCTCTGGTAAAGTAGTAAAGTTGACACCTTGACGAAGGCCAAGAAATCTCTGAGGATCTGGCTGTGCATCTCGAAGTGCACTTCCATCTTCAGTGGTTCTGACCTTTCAGCGAGGATCCAGGGCATGAAAAATATGGCAGCACATTGGCACCTGCCCAAATACTTAGACGCTTCACCGATCCATTTTATACTTCGGCCCAGTTATAGCATGTATATTCGATTCTTGCTTCCCTTTGAGTCACTGGTAAAATGTAAAATGTATCCTAAGTCTACCAGGATCCACCGCATCCCTCTGCTCCTGAAATTTCTAGGCATCCGTTTCTGCGATGGGACTGCTATCTCGCATTTGCAGCGCCCAAGGCCTGCGACCACCCTACAAGGGCTCTGTCTGTCGCCCAAATGACTTGCAGAACTACCGTGATACATGGGTGTGGGTCAAACAAAGGGTACCCAACATGGAACCTTGGTAAAGGGACACATGGACTAAAACCTGCGGCTTTCTGGTGGTTTAATTTTGCCCCATACCCACAATTGTCGTACATGCAGTTCCTTGCATTGTCCAGGATGAGGCACCTCCCGACGTGTACAGTACAGCATTGGGCGGCTTCCATTTGGCCATAACCAGGGCTTCAAACCCAGAAACCAATCCAAACCACCGATTCAGGGTTGCCCGATACTGGACACGATCTGACAGAATTTCTGCGTCCGATGGCAAAAGCAATGCTGAGTTCCACACAACCGATGCAAGAGCTCGATGTCTCCTTCCTGCACATGCAAAGGATAAGAAGTGGCATGGACAACAACTCGGACCCTCTGATGGTTCACATGCAAAGGACAAACAACTTGGACCTTCTGATGCCTATTGGATATGCACCACGCTGCTCTTATCTTAGCCGATGCCCATGAGTTGCCGTGTTCGATCATTTGCTGGGTTGTTGTTGCACCTCCCCTGCGAATCAGCCGGTTCAGTGCGTGAGGGGCTTAAGTGCGAGAGGCTTTGTGGTTTACGAACTGAAAACCACCAAATGTGCCGAGCATTGCCTACATTTCCCCGATCGCCTCAAGGGAAGCTCACAAAAAGAAGTGGCCAACAAGACGATGTTCCTCGGCACCAACGGGGAAATACAGGAATGTGTAGGGATTTGGACCTTTATGGGTACACTCAAAAAAAACACGAGAACTGGGTGTTGGGGTGTGGGACCCGCTAAAATGGTGTTGCTTTTGGTCTGGAACCCTCCAGAACCCTCCCCAAAAGCTGCCCCAAACTACCCCAGAGCCTATCTTGGCAGGGACCCTGAGGAAAAATAACCACACCGCGAAACGCCCTCGGCTCAAAAGCTTCAAATCCCACACCACCAATCCAAACGATGGTACTGAGGTGCTCAGGCAATGAGAAATGGAATGATCAGAGCAAAACAATCCAACTGGTTCCTTTGTTCATTCAAAAACCAAAACCAAAACCCAAACCAAAAACCAAAACCAAAAACCACCGGTTCATTCAAAAACCACCGGTTCATTCCACCACCCGGGGCTACTCCTCCGGCTTGGACTTCTTCTCCGCCAAGCGCTGGTCCAAGTAACGGCGCACGCGGATTGTGAGGTAAAAGGAGAACTGCCTGCCATCGATCGGCCCAAACGGGTGCCTCGTCTTGGCTATGGGTCAGAATTAAACCACAAGGGAATCGTAGGTTTTGGTCCTTGGTTCCATTTACCAGGGTTCCATTTTGGGTACCTATTTTTGACCCACAGCCAGGCCCAAACGGGTGGCTAGTCTTCACTTGGCTTTTTTGAATGCGTTCTTGTGGTTTCAAGGGAATCAAAAGGAACACCTAAGCCATTTTGGGATGCCCCCTAAAAAAGACTCTCCCTAATGGCTGTCTCAAAGGGTACCCTTGTTTTTGTAGGTGGTTTTCGTGGGTTCCCTTCAAAATGGGTACCCTCAAGAAACGTGGAATGGGCGCTTCTCCTCCTACAATGGATGGTTTTTCCACTGGTTTCTTTCTCTTTGCCCCAAATATGGCAACAATTTGGGTTTGACTTCCCTAATATGTCCTAATGCCAACCAAAAGGGGGTCCCTTTTTGTGAAACCAGGACCCCCCTAAAGGAGTCATGTCAGATGGCCGCAAAATATGTCACAAAACTATCCGCTCCTAACGCTTTCCTTAGATGGCAACGCTTTCCTTCGTTTGCCCCAATCAACAACCATAAGGGGTCCACTCGTTTGAGAAACTCCCAAAGTGGGTGACGCTCAGTACCCGTACAGGGCTTGGGAAGGGAAAACCCTGACGAGATCTTGGGGCTCGGATTGTGGCACCATCTCATGGCTCATGCATAGCGTTGCAATCATTGCAGGAAATCCATTTTAATCACCTGCAAAGACGTGGGTTTTTCAATAGGGGGCCCGCTCCCATGGTATCTCCTTTGCCTTCCCTTCACACGGGTTGCGAGCCTCCAAACATGACAGGCTTCGGAAACGGGCCCCGCCTGCTGCGCATGAACTCGTCCAGCTTGGAGAACAGAATTGCCTAGCGCTTTAGGCCATGCCGTTTGTCCCCCTGATGAATTTCTGGATGGCCCCAAAATAGCCCCTGCCGAAGGGTCGCTTCATGACACAGTTGGCATGAACAACTGACGTGCATGGTCCAGTTGCTTCAGCACTCTCCAGATTGCGCAAGTGCGTCATCAAGTTCGTGATGCTCGACCTTGGAAGTGGATCACCGCGTTGGCCGATTCAAGCGGCCAAATGTGCCAATCCTGATATGGTAGTGGGTCAAAAATGGGTACCCAAAATGGAACCCTGGTCAATGGAAACATGGACTAAAACCTGCGGTCCCCCGGGGGTTTGATTTTGACCCATACCCATATGTCTTGGTTCTGAACCGCCACTCTTTTCTTCACCATCAGCCAGCTGTCAATGTCAGCCGTAGGTTTTGGGGCGATGTATGCACGCTGTCGGAGTGGTGACATGAAAACGGAGTCTCATGCTCAACCCGATCGATGCTTACGTTCCACTCAGTTGCTTAACATTTGCCTATGCGCAAAACGGCTGGATGGCTCAAAATGGGGCCGAAATCCGAGGGAATAGGGAAGACTCTAGCAGGAGCTTGCAGGCTAATCCCAACAAGAAAGTTGGTAGTTGATCCAAATGTTCGGATGGTAAACCCCTTGCAGAATCCAGCACCCCTCAAAATGGCTTCGATGTTCCCTTTGGTTTCCCTTTCAACCACTAACGATACAAGGTCCCTCCAAAAAAAGACAGACCCTTTTTCGGGCACCTCGTTTTAGCTTCCTCGAGACCCAAGGAACCCACACTTTGTAGCAGAGTTCCCACAAAAAAAAGAAGATAGGGGAGGTTCTCGAAACTGGACCCCTTTTGGTTGGCAGTCAAAGGGAAACAACCTATTATAGGTGACCACCATTTGCTTTAAAAAACAAACTTTGGTTGGTTGTAGTTAAAGGGAAACAAACTATTATAGGGGACCACTATTTTGAGAAGATCCCCCAAAAGGTGCTGGAGCTCTCTAGGAGCTGGGCACGAAAGATGAGAAGGTGACCAGCGCAAAGATCACCACCGCCACGTTGAAGAAGCGCTCCTCGTAGGTCTGTGGAAGCACCTGCCAAGCGTGTCTCAGAGTGCCGTTGGTGCCAAGAGTCGTTTGGGGTGCCAATGGACCCACCTGGTAAGTGGACATATGAACCAACACCTGGTCCCCTGGTGGTTTAATTTTGACCCACCATGTTTCTAGGGGTTCATTCCTTTTCCATTCCTTTCAAGCATCGTTCTTTTCAAAAACCGGATCTGTTTCCCCTGAAACTCTGGTGGTTTTCTGGAAAGAAGGATCCCTGGGTTCAGAATGGGGAAGTGTCCCTAGAAATGAATTTTCCTTGCTGGTGCGAAATCGATGCAGGGAATGAGACATGGAAATGACCCCAAGCAGAACCATCGAACTGGTGGTTTCATTTAAGGGGATGTTCTGGCCATTGAGCACCGGCAAGTTTCTGTATGTCCAAAGTGGCCCCTACAAAGGTCACTTGACGAACCATTTGATAGCCGCTGCGTCCTGGTGAATACAGGACCGCCCCAAACGCGTTTGGTCTGGGCTCCGTTTGGTAAAAAGCAGAAGTCAACTTTGGGCCCTTTGTTCACACACCGACATGAGATGTCCCCTTTTGTTTAAAAGGGCATCCTCACAGAAATGCAATCCCAAGGCAAGACATCGCTGCCCATGGCAGAGCTCGCAAAATCTCGCAAACATCACCAAAAACTGCTTTGACCGGAAAGCATTTTTTTGGCTGCGAGTGCAAACCAAGGCAAAACAATACAGCCACTGCCGCTGCCGAAGCCATCTCCACTGCAGCATGCTTGCTGCGCTGGCAATGCTGGCGCTGCCACCGTTGCAAGGATTAACAAAACCAACCGCAAGGCAGTAACAGCCGGAACAGTGCAAGCAATGTGTTTTCGCGTGACGAAAAAAAGCATATGTGTAGAATCATCTTCGTCACATACCAGGTGAGCGAAACCAACACCTGGCAAATTGTCATAAGAAACATGAATGAAAAAGCCTAGGTCCTCCAGTAGAGAGGTTAGAATAAGGCTACCCTTTTTCTGTAGTCTATGTTTGTAGGGTAACCCTCCCCCCAAGAAGGGTAAAAGGGTACTACTGGGAGACCTAGAAGCAAAAACAAAAGGCCGTGCCCTTTGTGCTTTCCTGCTTTTGGGTTTCGGGAGATGGCCGCTAGTGCGACTCAGGTCCGCATCTTACACCTGGCTGTGGCCAAATCAGCACCGACAACTCTCCCCACCTCCATGCCGGCGGGCGTAAACTGTGTCAGGCTCCAATGCAAAGTGATGAGGTACGTGTACCTGCAACGTCTGGGATGTGCGGAAGAAACCAGGGCAAATCCAGCTGACTGTGATCCTCATGGTCCCAAAACTGGGTGTGTTGGGAGGGTACACTTGTTTGGCTTCGGGTAAAGTGTGAAACCAAAGGGAAGCCAAAGGAAAACAATGGGAAACCACGCAATTGGAGGGCTTCCCGAATTTTAAAGCAAACCCCAATTGTCCAAAGCTTTTATAGGGAGTCTAAGGCCGCAAGTCGCATTCGTCGATCTGCTGACCCACGGACCGACGGACATCCTTTTTGGGTTTCCTTTCGTTCCAGACACCCGGTGGGTTGCTTCCTTTTCCTTATTGGAGCTTCCCCTTCAAGTCAAGAATAAACTCCTTTCTAGGATTCTAGGCGTTGCTTCCCCATTCTTTTCAACCAGAAACCGGCTGTTTCCCTGGGTTGTTGATTGTTTCCTAAAAAGAAGGATCCCTGGAAAGAATGGGAAGGTACCCCTAGATCCTTTTCCTTATTAGAGCTTCCCCCTCAAATCAAGGACCAACAATTGCGTCAGGACCAAAAAACTGGTCCGACTTCTGACCTCTCCGAAAAGCTGCAACTCTAAGACTCTAAGGCAAGGTGCCACCAGTTGGTGGTGTCTATCTCGTAGTGCTCCAGCCAGCCGCCAGGTCCAGACCCCAGCAGGTAAAAGCAGGCTGCGATGGTGTGGTTGATAAACAGGATGCCCAGAAGGTGCCGCAGCTGAGTGGAAAGCAATCGATGCAGGAAATCTGCATTGTGGATGGACGACATCCTCCACTTCGAAACGATGGGACACCGTTGTTTGGTATTTACAGGTCCACACAACGGGGGCTGCTCAGTCCAAACTCTGGTGTTCTGGACCTGCAAGGGAGGGTCACTGATCGGAAATTGCCATACGACTGCCTGACATATCTGGCTCCGGCTCCGGGCATGGAGCAAAGCTTCAAGCGCACCATGCCTTGCAACCATCACAACTATTCTATGTGCGAACCCGCACTTATTGACTGTCAAGAGTGTCTCTGGGATTCAAGCCACCATTAAAATCAAGGGAGGTTATATAACCACCATTGTTTGCCTAAAGATTCTCATCTACATTGGGTCAACCATTCTTTTGATGGGGGTTGAACCCTAAAAGTGCGTCAAAATATTGCCCATGGACCAAGGGCCTTCGGGGGGCATTCGAACCACGAGGCTGAAGCCGCGACTGAGGTCTCGGCAATTCCCATACTCAGCGAGATGTACTCGGTGCGTGGGAGGAAGGGGAAATGCCTCGATCGGAAGTCCACGCCACTGCCGAGATTTGGGCCCCCACAAAGTCGCACGGCTGTCCGTTTGGTTTCGTTTGAGCAAAGGCGAAACGCGGAGCAGGCCTCACAAAAGGCTCCGGCGCTGTTTCCCTACGGCAACTGCTTTCGGCCAGCCTCGGGCCAGCAGATGCTTTCTACAACCAGCTGTTTTCCGCGTCAGCGGCAAACTCTTGAGGGCTTCAGGCTGTTTCATTCGATTTTGGGGATTGGCAGCCCGTCCGCCCAACATGTTTGTTTTTTTTTTTTTGTTTTTGTTTTGTTTTTTAATAATTAATTTATTTGTTTGTATTGTTACGTTCTTTTTCTTTTTACAGCGCTCCGGAGCATATCATGCCGGTTTGCCAAGCTTGCACAGGCATTCTTGTGGTTATATCTTTGACTGTTTGCAAAGCTTTCCAGGCTCTGGAAAAAACATTCTTGTGGTTGAAGTTATACATGCAGCAAAATGGATAGCGTGCCAAGCGCTCATTGCAGCGCCAAGACGTGGGATCGCCATTTCGCAGGGACTTCGGGCAATGCTTTCAAGCCAAAACCAATGCTTGCCCAAGCATCGAGTTCCACGCAAATGTTCCATTCCGGTCTTCTTCTCAACTGCGTGCGAATGTGGCAGACATTTGATAAAACTGACCTTTTGCTTGGCAGCTTCAAACCGCATTGGCGCGCTTGCAACAACCAGCGTGCCCCGTACTGCCTTTGGCGAAACTCTTGGGCGCGGGATGTCATGTTCGGGCACGTGCAGGTCGGATGCAATGGCAAAGCTCAGCACGACTGTCTAATTCTGTCGTTTCCGGACAAGGACTCGAACCATCTCGAACCCCGGGACCACTGCCGGCTTAGGAGAACGATGGAAGGGGAAAACAAGCATTTGCTAGACTCACTGAAGCCAACATGACGTCAAGACTGATCACAGTCGCGATTCCGCGGATCCCAGCCGAAGTCGAAATTCCCATAGGGGTGGCCCTTTTGCTTCCTCTCTTTTTTGTACCAAGTTAGCTTGTCTCTAATTGGTGGGTTGGATTGGGGGGTTGGAAGGGGGTGGTGTCCCACTTACCCTGAAATCCATTCAGCCGCGCCCACAAACATGGCTATTGGAGGCTACCTGAAGGATGAGTTTCTTGGAGGGACCAGGTCTGGGGGCAGAGAGGGTATCTGAAAAAAACATGAGTGCTACTCCGGGAAGGACGTTTTGCCAAATAGGTATGCACCTAAATGCCTTTGCGTCTTGGCATTCAAGCGGTCCAGGTGAGAAAGGCCATGAACAAAACACACATTGACTACCGGGAAGGCTAGCCATATCAGATTTGGGGAGGATGAACATCTGGGTGCTGCAAGATGTGTTTGCATCCCTAATGAAACTGTCAAGTTTGTTTGAGATTAGCTAAAAGTTCCAGGTGGTTAGCTGCAAGTTGTTCTCAGCGTGCGGGCGCAGCATTCCGCTTTTTGCCTACCCCAAGCTACTTAAACCCAGGCCTTCTCCTAGGAAAAATCAACCACCGGGTTTCAGTCTACGTACCGCTGGGGTAGTCAAAAAGTGGAACCCTGTGGCGTGTGTTTCATTCCTCCAAGTGGCTTTAGGGCAGACGGCAACTTTGCTGCCCGCAGCACTTTAGCAGACCTGCGCGCATTTGGCTCATGTGAATGTACCACTTCCTGCAACTGGTCTAGGTCATCCAGTAGACAGGGTCGAATAAGGGCACCCTTTTTTTTCTGTATATAGTCTGTTCTAGCAGGGGAACCCTCCAATGCGTGCCCTTGCCGTTTTGGAGCTGATTCAGCCTTATCTCGGAGGTTGAATGTGATGGAAGCTCTTCAAAATTTGTGATTGCCCTTGCTCATTGATGGCAGAAGAGCAGCTTGTGCTTAGCCTCCCTCAATTGATGGTGTAGATTGGTGGTTTGGAGGTATTCCGAGGTGGTTTGCCATTCGGCCTCTAAAAGAACCAGGGGTTCAGATGTGCAGCAGGCAGACAACAACTTGGTCTGCTCTTCAGAGCGGTTTAAACGTCAGTCGGCGTGGCCACGTAGAATGGCTTCCAGCTCTGTTGATGCATCTCAATTTGGCCATAGTCCTGTGGGCAAATCCATCTCGCACCAGTTGGAATTGGATGAAACCTTATCTGGGTCCCTCAGTAGTGCCCTTTACCCCTTTTTGGGGGAGCAATGGGGTGCGTAGATTGATGCAATGCATGTTCAAGCAACAATTGGATGAACGCAAAGAGAAAACTACGCAATCATCTGTGTTGACTACGTCCAATGATTTCGTTGTACTGGTACTTTGTTTGGATTGTAGGGTCACGTCAGGCACAGGGCTGGGCAGAATGTAGCGTCAACACTTGCATCTTCTTTCTTGAATCGTGTTCGCATGTCTCCTTTTTAGCCAAGCCTGGCATTTTGGGCATTTTGGGCATCCGGCAAGACACCGCCACATCTCCCAGACGTGCCGTCCCCGCCTCAAAAAGCGCATGATGCGGATGGACCGCGACGCCCTCACCAGGCTTGGCAGCGACGGGACGTTGGAGATCGCGGCATCCACCCACTCGAACCTGAGACGGGCAGGGGTCATCCGGGTGTCCCTACCATAAGGCGGAGGGGTGTGGGGGGTCCGAGTTACCCAGTTCCATTTATCGAGTCTTCCACATAAAAGGGACAATGCAACCATAAATGGAATTTCAGGGGTCCGCCCTCTCCCCCAATTCCGTTTTTAGGGTGGGGATATCTGGGTGCTGGGATACCCCTTTAAACAAGGCCAAACACAGGGCCAAAGAGCCTGTTGAAGTTTGGCCTTGATTAACTGTGATTGTCAATGGTCTCATCTTGCGGTGGTCATGTCTGAAAATTGACCAATACTCTATCCCTCCCCTAAGGAGGGAGGTCAAAACTCTGGGACCCAATCCCATTTATCCAGTCTCACCCGTAGGGAATTATGGCTCACCATGGAGATCTCCAGGGGTCGAAATCCGGGACCTCTCCCTCCTTGGCGGTTTGGATTGGCTCTAGGATTTGAACCCCTAGGTCTTGAAGAGGGTTTTTTGGGGGTGTCCCACCCACCAAACCTCCAAACCACCAATCCAAACCACCCTTTTCGAGGGAAGCTGAAGTATCTGTTAGATAGTCCTGCTGACCCTCAGCTGCAGTCTCATGCGCCTTAGGCGCATGGCCTTGAAACTAAAAACTATCCTTCGACTCGCAAGCAATACCTCTCCTTGCCTTTAAGCTCATACAAAGCTAGGTCCCCCAGTAGTGCCCTTTTACCCTTTTTTTGGGGAGGGTCCCACTACTAAAATCGACTACAGAAAAAGGGTACCCTTATTCTAGCCTCTCTACTGGAGGACCTAGAAAGAGTTCATGAAGCCTACAGCTGTTGAATACGTTGGGGTTGTCGCCAGGGGAACCGTCAAGCCCAATGTTACAAATGTGTGTGTTGCTTGGTTTCCCCCTCAAACCAAACCGACCATGGCGGTCCAGCAAACGCCACACCCATATTGGAAGCATCCAAATTACACTGGTCGAGTCTTGGCCAAGGCACTGGCTGGTTCGCTTCTCAATGGACTGTGATGTTCTGGAGTCCCCCTTTTTTTCGGATGTTAATAAAAACTGAGCGGGCGCGGAAAGCCATGATGGCATCTTGCCAAGCAGAACGGAGCCGGCTTGCACAAATGTGTGACACATTTGAACCTGAGACTATTAAGGTGGAAGATCGTCAGTATGCAACTAAGTTGTCGCTGCCCAAAGGACGAAATCAAAGCTCAACCTGGAGCCTTGACATGATGGTTACCAAAATGCTTGAGAGCCACACAGTTCTTGTTCTCACTAGCAAGGTGCCTTTCGAAGCTCTTCCTCAGTTGCAAAGCACCCAGAAATAGAAGATTTACCTTTTGGCACCTTGACCAAAAATGGGTGCCAAGATGGGAAAATCAAAATGGACCAAAATGGACCAAAATGGAATTTAACAAAGGGGTTCCTTTAGATTTCGTCCATCCACAGTAGCTTGGCCACTTTCTCTCGGAGATAGCTCTTGGCTCCAAGTGGCGACAGCAGGATCAGGTCTGGAATCATCCTGAGTAGCTTTCACTTGCACGTTGCTGTTTTCGTTGGTCCCAAACCTCGCACCCAGCCAACCAAATCCAGATTGAGCTATGATGTTTTCAGTCTGAAACTTGGTTGTGTACACCTTTCCCTCTAGAACAGGCCCATGATATTTAATTTGAACCTGTCGTCCACATAGGTCAACAATCCTTGCGTTGGCCATTGTTAAATTCCTCTTTTCTAGGAACCCTTACACTTGTCTACATTCCCTACAGAGTCCATGACCATCCCTACCAACTTGCAAGTACACGGATATACGAGTGTGTGTTTTTGGAGGGTACTATGTTCCAAGTTTTGTGACAAACCCCATATGGATGTATTTTCTATCTCTCTCTCTCCCTCTCTCTCTCTGTCACACAGCTCAACAAGCAATGTCTAGTATCGCTGCTCCATTTGAGCATCCAAAAGTGCTAGTACACAAGCTCTCAAACAAATAGCTCTGCGTGTTGTTGAAGCTCGGTACCCTTTGCACATTTAAGGGGCCGAAAGTGAATCCACCATTTCCGGGGAGTCCAAATGCCTACTCATGACAAATGGCATGCCCAAACTAGAAGCGCCATCTGCCTTTCAACCCAATGGCATGCCCAAAACCAGCGACGTCTCCCTCGACGGCGAGACGTCGAGCGTCCAAGTCTTCGCGTAGTTCATGGCAGTCATGTGTGGCCGCAATTCCAAGGACCCAGTTACCTGAGCCGCTAAGCCGCCACGCGGCTAGGAGGCTACGATCGGATCACGTCGATTTTTGTGATTTGCTTGGAACCCGTTGATATATAAGGAAATCAACCTTTGTGTCCCTATGTCTACATGCCTACACGCCCATCTGTTTCTGACAAGGGTACATCACCAAATCCAACTGAGCAAGGCTCCCAAATGACCCCGGATTGACATGCACATAGCTTGTAGCTGGATCCTCCGGTATCACACAACCAATCCGCCCTTAGCATCAAATCCAAGACTTAGAAAGCTGTTGCGAAGTCAAACAAGTCTCGCAACCCACCCAGTGCTTCCAGGCAAGCCGCCTTAACCCTTCAGGATCCTGACCCTCTATGCCTTCCTTGTAAACCCAGAACCCGAAAAAAAGTAGGAGGACTTTTGAGAACCTGCGTCTCAGGGGGTCACATGTGAAGAACCATACTATTGCTTGAAGAACCGGGTTCTTTGGCAAACGTGGCAAACCACAGGCGTTTCTGACGTTTGTGTGACTCCGGCCGCGTCTTTGCGGCTCTTTTGCAGCCACCGGCCAATCTGCGATCGCAGCAGGGCTAGCTGCTCAGAAGCAGGGCTCCTGCACACGAGGGCAAGTGTCATCTGCATCATTTGTTGCAGCGTGTGATAGCTACCGCGGTTCAAGCCAGGCAAAGCCGTGTAGCCATGTGTGACATAGCAGAGTTAGGCGTTGAATGGGACAAGGTTGAAGTTATCAGGAACCGTTTGCGTGATGGGAGTGGGCTTTTAAGCCCGGTGGTGACTGGGCGAAAGGATATAAGGCTTCACTGGGCAGTGTCTAACGCGGCCGTCCTCACGGTTGTGTTGAAACGGATGGCTCTGAAGGAAAAATTGAAGCTGCCGCAGGTGGAGGGGCTAAGGTCTGAGGTTGGGACAGTCATGAAGATGAACAACCAGGAAGTGAGCATGGAGACGGTTGACACCGTGGCTTGGGACATCAGAACCATGTGCACGTACGTGAAGCGATGCGCCAACCGAAAAGAGGCATCAATGGAACTTAAGCTGAATTATGTATTGCAACCTTTCCTGTGAGTGATGTAGCCAACTTACCCATCCTGTGCCCTGCTAAGAACCGGGCTTTTCAAGACCTGGTCCTCATCTTGAACCCTGCGTTGAAGGCATGGTGTGCAGCGCCTCGATCTTGCTAACATCCATTTCTGATTTGCCCTGATCAGGCCGTTGTGGACGCAATGCGCGCTAAGGCCGCTGGGGAGGGAAGGGTTTGCAACATGGGATTTTTTTAAAACAATTCAAATATGGGCACGCGTGTGGGGGAATTGCGACCACGGATCTGCCTCGTGCGCAGGATGGGGAGCGCGACGATGAGGATCTTACGGGAGATGATGCTGACTTTGAAGCCGACCTTGATGAATCTGATGAGAACGCATCCGACTCAGAAAGCCGCAGCACCAACCAACCTTCAGCATCCCATGAGCAGCCGCAACAAGAAGAGCAGAAGCAAAGTGTCACAGCGCAGCTTACACCGCAGGCAGAGCCAGTCACACAGCAGACTCATCAAACAGAAGAGCAGCAGGCAGACCAAGTGAAAGAGCCGCAGCAGCCCCCCGAGCAGCCGCAGACCAAACGCCAGACAAGCGACGTGATTTCGGTGCAGGAAAGCCCCTCCCAGCCAGAGTGGACTGACAGACAGCTTGACACACAGGACACCCAGCTTGACCCTGTTGAGCCAACCTCAACATCCAAGCCAGCAAGCAGGCCAGCCGCCCTTGAGCCAGAAACACCTCCAATCCCACTCACCTGGCCTGGGTTTCATGGTGCCCCGGACCAAAGCTCTTGTCGCCCGACTGCATGCAGATGCATGCGTTCCCATCTTCAGCCGCTTTTGTCCGCACTGGGGTTTAACGGCCAGGTGCTGGCGCGCTTCGTCGTGGCAAGAGCCGCGTGGACTTGCCCTACATGGACAAACAGCGGGAGCTAGACATGCTGAAGTGGCGACTGACCATGATTCTTGGCACAAGTTAGTTGCGTTACCAAGTTGACCAAGTACCAAACAAGAACTGCGCACCTTATAAACCTAGGATCCGGAAGCAGAAGGAGGAGGCCGACGCAACCCCAGCACCCGCGCCCCAACACAAGCCAGCCGACAAGGGCATGGACCCTAGCAGCGCGGACACACAGCCAGTCAACATCATGGCCTGCAACCCGTCTGGCGCCGTGAGAGAACAGTCCCCTCCAACCGGCCTCTCCCCTTCTCCTCAGACGGCAAGGCGGCAATACCAGCACCGCAAAGACCCTGAGCCGACTCTCACCTTGAACTCCGCTGATCCTACAATCAGCCAACAGCAGCCTGACGCTGACCAAGCCATGGACAAGCCTGATGCGCAGCCCGATGATAAGGAGGAGACTAAGCCAACAGAGACGAAGCCAACAGAGAAAGTTTGCATCCTTGACAAGGCCCATATAGGGAAGAGTTTGTCAAAACAACAACTTCGGTAGCACGGCGTTACACTCAAAGGGATCCCCTGTTGCGATGTGTCGGCACGCGCTTGCCTGCCAGGTCTTGACGAGGCGGGACCAACTGAAGGGCAAAAGGGTGAGGAAGGAGAAAGATGGGCGAAGTTGCAAGGGCAGCCGCAAGGAGAACAAGACCAAGAACAAGCGCAAGAGCCACCAGAGCCACAAGAGCAGGAAAAACCGCAAGAGCCGCAAGCTCCGTTTGCTGCGCAGCAAGAATTCCAGTGATTCAGAGCCTGCCCAGGACGATTCAGCAAAAGCGCCAAAGAAAGTCAAGAAAGCAACGAAAGGCAAGAAAGCAACAGAGACCAAGCCCAAGAAAGCCGCAGCTGCAGAAGCCAAGCAAACCGAAGCCAAGACCGACAAGACTGAAAACAGCAAGCGCACAAAAACGACCAAGAGGCAAGCAAAGGCAGATGTGCCCTACGATGAGTCTACAGTGCTGGATATGATTACATGGATGGAAAGCTTTTTGGAGGAGCCAACCGATTGCCTGGATGAGTTGAAAACCCAAGTCCGCGCACGCCTCCCCGACCTGAACACAACAAGGTTGGACATTTACTGGTCCAGGGGTTCCTGCGGAATCAGAATGAATACTTGCAAGAAGAATTGCGGGTACCTCTCACTCCATGACTGGTTACAGGGAGGGCATCCGTGCGGGAACATTCTGATGAGTGTCAAGGCATCAAGTTGCGTCGCTCCTCAGTTGAAACATTAGATGATATCGCAACTGGCTTGTTAGTTTGACAAACGAGATTCCTATCCCGCTCCAATTTCCATTCACAACTTAGGCCCAAGAGGTGGAGGCCAAAGAGCTTGAGGACGCCAAGGACCCGGTTATCAAATCCATGATTGCAGTGGCGAAGGCCAATGGTCTGGAGGCCTTGAAGCGTTTGAACACTAGAATCCGCGTGTAAAAGGATCCGTTTCTGTGCCATTTGGGCAAAGCCTGGGGCAACTTGCATAGCAAGTTCATGGGAAAGCTTTGCCACCGCCCTATGCCTTTTCACAAGGTGGATCCGTTTTAGATTGGACTTGGAGGCCGTGTGTAAATCACGAACATCCACAAACACTCCACTAATTCTAGACTTGCCCAACCCTGATCGTCTCACAGCCCGGTCTCCTTGTTCAGAGCTGTGCTGCAGCACGGCGCCCGCAAAGAGCCTGCGAAGCCAGTGGGGAACAAAAGCCCAGCGGATCCAGTAGCTGCATGTTTTGTTCCCATTACGATTGATTTGCTCAAGTCTGAGGTAAGAATCGTAATTGCGCCCGCCGCCTAGGCTTTCATGCCAACCGTGAAGGCCGCCAAACGCCGGGCCAAGCAACGGACGAGATTCACGACGCGTAGCCCTGGCATGTTTTTAAACCACTTTGCATCTTGATGCTGCCGCTGAACAGTTAGCCCGCAAACCTTGGAAAGGACGATTCTGCAGCCATTTTGGTTTGACAGGGTGTCCTTGGAAAAAAGAATAGTTGCGGCATGATTGCCTTGGATGAGCTCATGTGGGGGCTCAAGTCAGTTCAAGCCCCTCGAGTACCCCGAAAGCACTTGGCTTGTCGCATTGAGGGTAAGCATAAACGATAGGGAAACCAAATTTCATGAAATGATCAGGACCTTGTCCTATGCATCTTGCTGGTCTACTTCACAGAGGGCTGCTACACATTGGACCAGGCGCCTCTGTATAGGAACCAAGTTGTGGCATGACACACCCTGCCGAAATGATTTCTGTTGATTGGTCAGGGGTTAGACTTCATGGAGTTCTACGCAGGGTTGGCCCGCACAACAGCCTCTCTTAGAGAAATTGGCAAAGTCGGAGTTCGGCTGGACATCGATTACTTCAAACCTGACAACTCCGGATTCAAGTCCAACCCGATGGACATTTGTTCTGCCAGTGGCCTACTGTTGCTTTCCCGCAAAAAAAGGAGACAGGTAGTCAGCTTACAAAGTTGCCGTGCCACATTGTGCTGAGGCTGGCACTCATTGCTATATTGAAAGGCAGCCCGGAAGGGTTTGTGGCTTGGTTTGCCATAAAGTGCAGCTCATGGTGCGCAATGAACAAAGGAACATCGTTCCGTGCATACTGCAGCAGCGTTGGAGATTTAACATGCAAATCAGTGATCTACGCCAACCAAATGTGCGAAAGGACCACGTACAGTTTGTGCCATTCACTTTGAATCTCTTCAGGAATCATTTAGTGACGCGTGCTTGCAGGACAATTTTATGCATTTATGTAGTGCTCGCCTGCAACGGAACTTGGGCCCTCGAACAGCCTTCTGGAAGCGCCCTGGAGTTCTACCCAGCCTTCAGGCGGCTGCTGCAGGTCCAGGTTGACCTACACGGGCTTCAAAGCACCGGGTCTGAGTGTGAACCATCATGTTGCACCAGAGTAATTGTCCCAAAGTGCGAGTGTTCAATCTTAGGCATCATCAAAACATCATGGTGGATGGGAGCCTATTCTGCACCAACCATGAAAAGGCATTACTGC